AGGGAGTGATGGGGAGAGGGAGGGGTAAGGAGTGATGGAGGAGAAAGGGAGCCAGGGGGGAGGGAGTGACAGAGGGAGGGGGAGCTCACCGGGCTCGTCGTTGCTCGTGTCCGTTCAGGCCGTCGTGTTCATTGGCAGGCGGTTGCCTTCATTCATGGGCAGTTGTCTTTGTTCGTGGGCGGTCGTCTTTGTTTGTGGGCGGTCGTCTTCGTCTCGTTCGTGGGCGCTCATGGACGTTCGCATGGTCGTGATCGTTGGTGGTCTTTGGTGGGCGTTCATGGATGTTGGTGGGCGCTCGTGGATGTTGGTGGGTGCTTGTGGTCGTTGGTGGGCACTCGTTGTCGTTGGTGGGCGATCATGGACGTTGTTGGGTGGTTGTGGTCGCTGGTGGTCATTGGTCGGTTGTGGTCATTCGTGGGCGATCGTCTTCTTCCATGGTCCACCGCCCACATGTTCATCTGTGGTTGTCTTCATTATTTGGGCGGTTGTCATGGTCCTCGAGGTGAAACAAATACGACGAACGACGACCGATGTCGTTGTTCGTTGTCTGGTTGCCACGTCGCAGCTAGCGCCATGGCACCTGGTTGGTGTCAGAAGGGAGAACTGTGGGGTGGTGACTGCTTACCTCATGACCTCGTCACCGTCGTCCTCTCCTGCCGTCGATCTCGTGTGCTTGTGGGTTGGTGACGTGGTGCTGGCTCAGTGCTAGGGTGGTGCCGGGGTGGTTGTGGTTGTGACGACGTTGTGTGTCGTCGTCTCGTCGACTCTCGTGGGGGCTGATGGTCGATTTGGTTGTCGACACGTGGCGGGGGTTGTGCCACCTGGCATGGCGGCGACGTAGTGGTGACATTGACGGTGGGTGGTCGTTGGTCGAAGTGAGAAGGAACGTCACCAAGTCACACTGTGTGACATTTGTAAGATCATGTTCTTGCGCGCGTGCACGCACTCAAAGTTTTGTAATTATCTCTACTTAGTTTACTTACAATCGCAATGAGCTGGCGAGGTATCTCTTGTAGTTACCTGAATTACTTATTTAATGTAGTCAGCCAATCTATTACTCTATTCTATTGTAGTGTTCATCATAAAGTCTTGTAGTATCCCCTTTTTTAATTACAAAACTTTCTAGTGTCTTCTTTTTGGGAATACAAAAATTTATACTCCTCTTGTTTCATCACTGCCCTTGACTCTGAGTTGGTATATGAGGATATAGTTCAATGTTTCAGAGAAGTTGACTTTAGACTTTTTTCATCACAAAAGTGTGTACTTGTATCTTGTAGTGTCCTTGACTCCCATGAGGTACATGGGGATATAATTCAATGTTTCAGAGAAGTTGACTTTAGCCACATAGCCCTCTA